ATTAAAAAGAAGATTCTTGCTATGAGAAAGTCTCTTGCTAAGAGAGAGAGTCTTGTTAAGAAGATAGTGATGAAGTAAAAAAGAGTTCGTCTTCAAAGTTAATAGGTAAAAAGTTTATTTTAAACTTTGTTTAAGAAATTCTTTGGCTTGGTAAAGTGTAGTTTCAGAATAGTGTTTAGTAATAGATGATATTGAAAGAGGTTGTCTTCTTGTAAGTCTTTGGTCAGTACTTTTATTTATATTTAACAGATTACTTTTATAGTATTAGTCACACATCAACTATAAATATATTTCTATATATATAATCTTAAACTAATATTTATTATGATCTTAGAACAATTTTATTCTTAAAGTGAACCTGCTAGAGCTTTTCATAGCTACAATCTGACTAATCTAGTCTTTGTTTTTTTGCTCTTGTAGAGTTTATCCAAATTTTGATACCTTTTTATTGAGATTTTTTAATATTCAGAACCTGATCTATCTATACCTCTTAGCCAAATACCCCAAAGCAAACACTCCAGTCCTATAGTCTTGATTACCTTACTAAATCAAACCTTTTCTTCTAGAGCACAGATACTGAATTTTGGCAGTCTGGTTGGTGAAATAACTTGCTAATACTCTGCCTCATTCAGTTAACTAGCCTTGGATAAAGCTATTTCAGTAGTTATTATCAAAAGTTTGTACTATTTTTTTATTTGGGTCTTGCTAAGCAGGCATCTGTTTTTCTGATTCTTTAGATTTATATAATCATAAGGACTTATTTTAGGTTTGCACTGCTCAGAGCTGGCTTGTATACTTTTGTATAACTTATACATTGTATGAATGCCTATGTTCTTTTAATTTTGTTAGTGTTACCAAAGTTACAAAGATTCTGTTTTAACTAATAAAGATAAACAATAGCTATTATACAAGTAGAATATTCAAAATTTATTATCAGTAGATTTTGAATCTTTAAATGCCAATATATTGCTTAGAGGTACAACAACTTAACCACTTCACTAAATCACCATATCCTTAACTTTTCATTTTATTTTTATTATAATCTATAACAATAATTAACAATAGTTTTAATAATTAATTTAAATTAAATTGATAATAATTATCACAAATAATACTAAAAATAGATAATATTAAAAATTATATAATCACATAATAATCTTTTATATAAACAAATTTAAAATACTTATAAAACTATAGTATTACTAATTAAAAAATTTTATTATTAATATTAAAGTTAGAGTTTAGATATAATTATATTTTAATTATTCTAATAAAATTAGATATAATATATATAAAATTAAAACTTTCTATATTTTAACTCTAACTCTAATACTAATAGTGATAGTAATACTAGATGTTTATACAGAAGATCATTATATAATTATATAATTTTTAGCATCATATATTTTTAGCATCATCTGTAACAATAATTAATTATAAATAATAGTTAGGATTTTACTATATTACTAATAATCAAACTCTTTCTGATAATTCTCTGAACAATGCAACAAAAAATCGAATTACAGAAAAACACTATAGAAAGATTCAAGAATATACTATTTGCAGTTTTGTCTTTGAATAAACAGTTGTCAACAAAGCCTGTAGACATGAAATACTGAGAAGTGAGCATAATTTGGGCAGTTTTTCTTAAGATCAAGCTTTGCTAAACGGTAAACTTCTCAAGATATTTGATATCCAAACCAGAAGAATATTCTGAGAACTGAACTTATCTCTGAACAGATTGCTGTCAATAAAGTTTGAAAGATGTGAAACACTGAAAAGCAGACATAACTTAAGTAGTTTTTCTTGGGGTCAAGTTTTGTACTTCTTTTGGAACGGACTTCTTGAGATATTTGGTATCCAAACTAGAAAGTTTATTCTAGAAGCAAGAGTAGACTAGCTCTTGCTGCAATAGTATAAGCTTGAAGATACAACTATAGGACTGTAAAACTTACAGAAGAACCTCACATATTTTCATTGGCCCCACTTTTTTTTCAGGAAAAATTTTGTAAAAAGTGGGTGATTTAGCTTATCTTCTTCAAAAAATTGACAAATTGTTTACTTACCAAATCAGGCAGCATTGTTTATATTGATTTCCTATCACAATAAATACATGGATGCAGAGATATGGATAACTGGATTACATGCCTCGAATATGGCAATCTGGATAAACAATGCTTCAAGCCTAATGGTGCAAATTTCTGATCTCTCTACAGTACCAATGTTGAAAAAACTTTTTTTTTTTTTTTAGATTTTAAGTTTAGACATGCTATGTATATAAATTAGTATAGAGAATAGTTTAGATAGTAGCATGTAATTTTTAAAGAGCCTGATACAGGTTTATAATTGTAACCATTCAGTGTCATTTAGTTTAGTTTTTCTCATTTTTTTTTTTTCCCCTTTTATTTCTTTTATTTGTTTTTTTTTATGTATTTTTCTATACCTCTGTGTTTCTTTTATAAAATTTTTCTTTTTCTTTCACTTCTCTATGAGAAGATGTCATCAGATTGGTAATATTCTATTGTAGAGCAGTGGTTGGATAAGCTCTGGTTAGAGTATTATCTTAATTAATCGTATCTTGCTAATGCAGTTAGATCACCTGTAGATGCATGTAGGTAATTAGTTAGGTTATATGAGGCAATCGCAGGATGTCAGATCTATATATTTAATGTTATGATATTTTCACAGATTCAGTTTTAATTAAATAAAGATACTAGTGCGATTTGTCTAAGTGAAAAAAAAAATATATATACTACTAATAATATTTTTTATATATTGTGATATTTTTTAAAAGTAAATTTTTAAAAATTTAAAATATAAAATAACTTTTTTTTTGGCAATATTGAATAATCATACTAGTGACTTATATTTATTCAAGTTTTACTCTACTAATAATAATCATAATAAAATTTTAGACCTGATATCATGTGGCTACTTTAATATAACAAAGTTATTCAAGTGTTTATATATAACTAACTTCACTAGTCAAGCAAGATAATTATAATATGTTATCTAATACCTGTCTAGAGTCTTATCTAAAAAAAAACAAAGAGCACTATATAAAAAAAATATAGAGGTATAGAAAAATATAATAAAAAAAAACAAATATAGAAAAGAAAGAGAAAAGAAAACAAAAATATTTAAATAAATACAATTCTCCTAGATAATTACTTGAACTAACCGTTCTTACTCAACTCAAGTTGAAAAACTCAAAGTCTGATATCTAAAACTATTTAAATTTTTCTTTGAGTTGTTGTTGACAAAGCCTCTATTGTGATATATTGAGAAGCGAGTAGTAGAGAAGTAGTTTGTAACCTGGGTTAAGCTTATTTTTCAGTAGACTTTCTTTATGTTCGATATCCAAGCTAGAAAGGTTATTCTAATAGCAATTAAACAAAAAGAAACTTTGGATAGTAAAGAAAAAAAAGACAAAAAAGGACAACTGGAAAAGCACTCTTTATAGTTAGTATTTCACAAAACCTTGGTTTCTCTTTTTTTTTATCTTTGTTAATATCTTGGTGAAATTTTTGTCAGAAACACTAGTTTACTATAACTGAAAGATTGTTATTACTTATCTTTTCAAAATAGGATTGTAGCTATATTGTGACATATAAAAGGTTTGAAAAAACTATAGTATAGAATAGCCTTTTTCTAAAAACAGATACTTGTAGTCAGTTAGAGATAATAGAGTTGTTATAACAAGTAGTTTTAGAGATATATTATAGAAGTTATCAGATATATAATTTTTATGTCTTTATGCAGATTGTAGTATATTATTCTTTTTTCTTATTTAGTCTTAGATCATATATTAGTATATACTAGAATTAGACTTTAGATAATGCATACTAGTTAGTGATACAAAGGTTCTTATCAGGTTTATTGGCTAATAATTACCAGTCCTTTGTTGAGACAAAAAGATAGGTTTATTCATCAAGACTTGGCAACTTTGTTGTCAAGAAGTCATGGTGTTCAGTGAGTTAGGTTGTAAATTAATTATATATATATAAATAGTTTATAATAAACTAGTCTGTTTCAGTATCTAGACTATACAGTGTGATTTTGCCTTTTTGTAAAAAAAAAAAAAAAAAAAAAAAAGAAGAAGTTTAATGCTTACTAGTAGTAAAAATCATCATATCATATGATTATATTAAAACTGGTTAAAACCAGTTAAAACCAGTTTGCATATATAATTAAAAAAATATTATATTATTTATTCTCTATCGTTATTGTAAATTTATATAGAAGCATACATTTACTTTATCATTATTATAAATTTATATAGAAGCATGCATTTACTCTCTATCACTATTGTAAATTTATATAGAAGCATGTATTTACTCTCTATCTTTATTGTAAATTTATATAGAAATATGAAATTACTTACCTTAGTATAACAGATACATTGTGTGCATATATGTCTATAGTTGTAATAACAATATATACATACATACATACATACGTACTAGAACTTTAGTCTTTAAACTTTAAAGTTTTGAACTACATATAACAAGACTGTTTAAGATAGATGGTTCACAAAAGAAATTTGTTACAGGTTTTCACTATACCAGATACTACGTATAGAAATTTTATTTATAAATCTACCCTAACATAACAAAAAGATATGTTTTGCTAACCATAAGTAAATTTATCTGTATCTATCACTGTATATACATATGTATATACGTATGTATAAATAATAGTATACATACTTATTATATATAAAGTTATACATACAATATCGATATATACATATTTTAATATGTAAGTGTACTATGCATATGTACATATATGTATAAAATACAAAAAAAGAATTTTTGCATGTGATAACAGCTTTAATCTAACCATAAATATAACCCTAATACTATAATATATGTATATACGATATTATAATACTTAGCAAAAAGAAAGAGTTTAAGTCCAACAAATAAGCCAATATTGTATTTGTATTCATAACTAGTCTAAAGGAACCTACTCAAGATCTATTGATATAAACATGAAGATTAGTTTTCTTTAATATTTGGATACTTTTTTTGATAGTGATCTGATGTTCTATATAGCAAGCACTTATGTTGTGGTCTTGAGCTAGATTCTTCACTATGGTTTTCTTGTTTACTATGAATATTGGTAGTTTCACACATTACATTTTTCTTTATTGATAGTTCTATAGCGCTTTTGATTTTTTTTTTGCTGGGAGCACCTCGAATTTTAGTAATATGTGGATCATTTGTTTGTTCGATCAAATCTTGTTGTAATGTAATAATACTATCACTATTCAGATTATTTTCGCTGCTTTTTGCTTCTTCTGAATTATCATTCTTATTGTAGCTATTTTGTTTAGTTAAAATGAAAGTCTTTAATAATTGAATTAATTCATTATCACTCTTTGTTTCTAATACAATATTAATCACTGTTTTAGCTATTGAAAAAGCTATTCTAAATCTATTTTTTTGAGAAATAACGTGCCAAATATTGGATTGATGGCTAGTGCTTTGAAAATTTCATAAACTTTGAAGAGTAACATTTGCTTGAATTGTATGTTCACTTGATGATTCTAAGGCTGTAAGAACCGAGAAGTTGTCAAGAAATTCATCTAATTTTGTCAAAATATCATCCTTATACCATCGAATTGATATAAGGCTAATATGAAATTTTGCAGTATTGGAATAAAGCATGACCCACCAAAAATGACAGCAAATAATTCCTTTTGTTATTGTTTCCAAGCAGATACAAATATGTGTTCTATCATTAAGAAGAACTACCAGATTGTTTTTATGAGAAAAGCCTTCAATTCGACGAATTCTTCATATTTCAATAATATTAGACATATTAGTACTATCTAAAATAGGCTTTAATATTGCCTGGGGTTCATCGACTACATCTTCTATAAAATTATCACTTATAATATCAATACACAAGTCCTAGAATAGAATAAATAAATACCTTAGCTTTTAACTATACTACTTTAATTTAAAAATAAGATATGATACATATCATTCTTATAGTAACAAACCATGAAGATATAATTAAAAAAAAAAGAATAAAAACTACTTACTTCAAATATTGAGTGCTCTAATCATTCTTCATAAGTAAAAGTCTGGAAAATTTGAAACCGTTGTAAAGATAATATAAGAGGTGGTAAAAAATTAACAAGAAGTTTATCAACACTTGAAAAAAATTAGGATGAAATATGTGGAAGTTTAATGATCGAATGCTGTGCCTTAATGTCTATCAGTTTGCAATATCTAATTTCAGTTTCATGCTTTTTATTAATTATCTTCTTGACTTCGCAAAGTGTGCTAGCATTATTAAGAGACTTTTTAATAATATTATTAAATGATTCAATACTTTGAGTGCTCTAAATGCTAGCATTGAATTGAAATGGTGCATAAGCTTTAGCCTAACTAATCCGATTAGTATACAATTTTTTGGTCATATAATGTTCACATCTTGGAAATGTCTTCACCATAAATTCCTATCGTTATTCAAAAATCTCCATACTTAAAGCATTTTGATATAAAAAAAAGCCTTTTTGAACTCATTGAAATTCGAACCCAAAGATACTTTGAGATGCTTAATTATATTTTGCCAAATGTGAAACATATAATAAAAGTGATACGTATTTGGAAAAACTTGAGAAACAGTACTGATTAAGCCAGGTTCAGAATCAGTCCAAAATGACTTTGGAACTACATTATTTGTTGTCTTTAACAAATATTGTAAAATCCAAATATACATTGAAGAAAGCTCATCCTCTACTAACGTATTTGCTATATTTCTAAATCTTCTGTAGTTATCTTTTATCATAAAAACACTTAAGTACATATTGTACTTATTAGTTTTACATGTGTTATCATTAAGGACCACATCAGAAAACTGTCTATATAATTTTTGTTGAGAGGCTAACATCCAAAAAACACCTGATAACTGATGTTCATTGCCAGAATGTTAATAAATATCTTCCAATATGGATCCAAAGACATTTTTTCAAAAAAACTATCAAGTAAAGAAACAGAATCAGATCTCTCATTATCATTTTGACGCAATTTATAAATTGCATTATACATATCTTGTCTATAAAACATGTGTTGTGGATACTTCTTTTTAAGTATTTCTAGTTGAGTAATAGGTGCAACCTTACATTCTAAAAAAAATTTAATATCTTGAATCATCTTATTGCTAAAATGTCGATACCTGGCGCTAATATCAGATACCTGTGCAGAATTGATTTGATAGTTATGTGTATCTTTTAGTGTTATACATTTTATTTGATAAGAGATTTTTGGAAGTGAAAAGTTGCAATGCTATTCATAACTTGTTTTTGTAATATCGTGTAAGTAGTGTGAATTTTGATCAATTACTTTACGAGTTTCATAAACACCACCTGATGAATAGCAATAAGATTTTTGATGACTAATGTCAGGATTATTTTGGTCTTTATCATTACGGAAAGCTTGATATCCAAAACCCTGTTCAAAACAATAATTATATATAAACCTATCAACAGTTTCTCAGTCATCAAAACAATCACTCACATAAAGGTTATATTGATAGCTGAGAATACTTAATTCTTTAAAATTATCATCATATTCAGAAAAGCTAGTATCACTATTGACAAAATCGTTACCACAGTCATGAAATGAGGTATTATTGGATTCAGACAGTAGTGAAAAAAGTCTTGTATTAACTAGATTACTATTATCACCAAAATTATTATTAGAAACTTCAGAAAATGGTTGGTGATTCATATCGCCAAAATTATCACAAAGTCCAGAAGGTCGTGCAAGATTCATATATTCAAAATTATCATTAGGTCCAGAAGATCAGGCAAGGTTATATCGCTGAAATTATGATTAGAAGATTCAAAAGATCATGCAAGATTCATATCATCAAAATTATTATTAGAAGGTTCAGAAAATTGTGCGAGATTCATATCACCCAAGTCATCGTTAGAGGACCGATAATAAGGTAAAAAAAGTAGAAATATTGTATTTTCTAGATCGGTATCAATAGGAAATGTTAT